TGGCATTGTTATTCCCATTTTACAAATGAGGAAGCCAAGGCTCAAAGGTTAAGTGTTTTATTCAGTCAGGGTCACATGGCTAATAATCACAGTCCAGAGTTTCCTACCCCCAGGTAACAGCCCCATTTCCACAAGGCCACATTGCCTCAGTTAGGTACTACCTAGTTGTTTCAAAAGGCAAATAATCTGAGACTGTCAATAATACAATTTTATCTTTGTTTAAAAGAAAGGTAATGTGTTCCAACAACACAATAAAAGTCATAGGGATACTCCCTGGTAACATGTGTAAGGAAAACTACAATAGGAAATTTTCATTGAGGGGATTTTTTTTTACAATTTTCTTAATATTTTATTCTAGAAAAAAAATCTTCATAACCAGTGATTTAAAAAAAAATATTTCAAAGGAAAGTGACTTGCCAAGCAGCTGCAGTCCTGTTTTTAGGTAAGCTAGGTGGTCCATTGGATAGTTCTGTGAGCTTGGTTGAATTCAGGAGGACCTGAGTTGGAATCTGTCCTCAGTCTATGACCATACCTACTAAGTTTCAGTGTCTCTCCTGTAAATCAGGGGAATGAACTAGATTGTTTCTACTGTCCCTTTTTCAGCTCCAAAACAGGGAAATATTTTAAAATATGAACTCAAGTAAATTTCCAGAATACACACTGAATATGTTATATGGGAGTTTGAGGTAAAGAGGCTAACCAAGGGATTAGGTTAAATTTAGAGGAGGCTCTTTCAGGTAACAAGGGCAAAGGTATGGGAGGACACCATCAGGGGACCTGTGCCAGGGCAAATTAGGCTCTAGATTCTGAAACATTTGACACAGGCTTCTCAGCAGCTGTGGGAAAGGATCTGCTGCTGCAATTCAGCTTGGAGGTAAAATCCCACCCAGATGTGATTTCCAGGTCCACTTCCCCCAGAATATCTCCCCACCTGCTGACCAATGCCACATTCCTTTAATAGGAGATAAAGTCTTTCATTACACAATTAGAGATAAAAGGCTTAAAATGCAAATGTTGGTTCAGATAACACATTAAACTCATTCATACTCAAGTACAATCAGTCTGATTGTACAATCAGATAAGTTTAAACCCCTGCTATCAAATCCTTTTGGTTTGGCAGTGGGGGAGGGGTAAAAAGAAGTGAGAAGCATTGAGTACCTGAAGTGAGGAAAAGGGTTTCTACCAAGGCCCAAATAGAAAAGGCACAACAATCAGAGACTGGAGACCCAGAAAAGAAACCTAAAATCATGGGTGTAGAGTGGGAGTCTAGAAAGGGATTTCAGAGATTACCTAAAAGATTACTTTTGTTTTACAGATAAATGAACTGAGGCCCAGAGAGGTTAAGTGATAGGTAATAGAGATGGAATTAGAATTCTGGCTCAAAACCATTGATCCTTCCACCATAATATGCCACCTCACCATGAACTTAACTTTACCAATGGCTGACCTTATTTAAATTGGAAAGGGACAAATAGAAGCCCTGTGAGGTAAGAGATAGATAGGTAGATTAATAGATAGATAGATAGATAGATAGATAGATAGACAGACAGACGGATGGCTAGATGGAAATACACAGAGATAGATGCATATATATTTGACAGCATGCACTTGTATTTCTCTAATAACTTCTGAAGATTTTTCTTTTTATTGTTTTAACTATAGAGAAAGGATTCCTGACCTTTTCTGTGTGTCATGTATCCCTTTCAAAATCTGATGAAAACTATGGAACCCTTCACAGAATACTGTTTTTAAATGTATTGCATATATAAGATTACAATGAAAACCAATTATATTAAGATAGTTATAAATTTTAAGTTCACAGACCCCAAATTCTTAATTTTATTGGTAAAAAAAAAGTTATCAAGGTAAAAGGATAATGAGAATTTTTGTGCAAAGAGGGGTATTTTCATTTTCCTAGCTACATTTTCATGCTCAGAAAACAATATTAGCTCCATGGATGAAAGGTAGTCAGGATGCTACAGGGCTAGGCTTAATTTTGGACTTTGCAAAAATCTTTACTTAACTATTTGACACAATAGTTATTCTTTGATTAAGTCTGAGGCTTCATGCAAATGTGTCATCCCATGCTCAGAAAATTTGTTAATTTGGAATCTGACTTTCCAAGATGGCAGACCTCTCCTAAAGGAAAACCCTATACCACTAAGACAAGAGTCTATGAAAACCCTAAATGTATCTTGTAGTATGTCTCTGTCCCTGTTCATGGCATGGAACTTTGTAGAAATTTCCTCTTTACATAGAATATAGTAGTAACTGTGAGTACTTATTATTCATTGCTCAATAATTAAACACTGAACTATTTTGTTAACTCTCTTAGGTTAATGTGGTAGAGATGCCTAATTTGACTTTGAATAAATTCAAGGACCTATCCTTAAATGTAAAAATATGTGTGGGGGTTGAGAAAGAAAAAGGGGAGGATACAGAATGCAGAAGAGAATTGGAAGAAACACGCTTTTCTTCTTCTGCCTGATCATAATTATGACCTTGACACCTTAGAAAGGTGATTAGGGATGGGGAAAGGAAAGAAGAGCAATAGAGAGGTTTACTAGGATAAACCAAATTAACCAGGAAACCTGAATTCTTTCAGATTCCAGTTACGCTATTGAGCTCTTATGTGACTTTAGGTAGTCTATTTAAATTCTCAGAGCCTCAGTTTCCTCAACTGTAAAATGATAGGTTTGAATTAAGATGATTTCTAAGGTTCTTTCCTACTCCAAAATACTATACTTCTAAAAATAGCATCCCAAGGTGCTGGGAGGAATGTCACTAAAATCATAAAAGAAGTAAAATCTTGCATGTTTGCATTGCTTCAGATTATAGCAGATAGAATGTTGGACTTGAAATTAGGAGGGCCTGGGTTCAGATTGTGCACCAGACATGTCATAACCCTGGGCAAGTAATTTCAGTTTCCTTTCTAAAAACTGAGGTGGTATTAACAAGAGCAAGATTTAGTACCTCAGTAACAGGTTTCAACTCAACGCCCTCTGCAGTCCCTTCCAGTCTTAAATCTAGAATCCTATGATCTCCTTCCACCTCAAGACTGGGCAAAAAACAACTGCAATCACCACATCATTCCCATAAAATGTTAGCATTTATAAAAAAGAACACCTCTTACCCTAGATTGCAATGTGAGTAGACTGTGGGTCTTCATGCATTCGAAGAGGGTTCAGCTTCAAAATGAGCGATTCCTGTATTTTGGGACTTGTACTCTCTAGGGTTGTACCATTGATTCAAAAATGAGGACTGCAGATGTCTACATAGAAGAGCTTGTCTAACTTTCAACCTGAGTTATTATTATTTGTAGCAGCTTACTGACACTGCCAATAACATCACAGTTAATAGAATACACACACATATCTTGTAATTGACCCACTGATAGTTCTGTACAGCTAAAATCATCCAGGAACAACAATCCTGAAATGTCTACTTAATGAGCAGAAAAGCTACAGAAGCACCTCGTAATGTAAAACCAGATTGTTTTTCAGCTCCTCATTATTTACACATTAAGGAATACTTATTGGCTGCAAAAATCTTCCTGAAAACATTCTAACTTCTCAAAATACAGTTTTGCAAAAAAGAGATATTTATTCTTTTGGATTATGGTTGGATCCAAGATGATTGAATAGTTCAGGATCCAAGGATGATGCATGTGTAAACCTTGCAGGGTTTGGAGGAGGGAGAGAGGGGGGAGCCAACTATTTTAGAGTGAACTAGTAGGTACCATTCTAATTGAGAGCTTGTACTGTCTTTTTCAGACTTAGCAGAGAAACAATTAATAAAGGAACCCATTAAGGCCTGATTATTGCTGCTAAAAAGGGAGGTTGAATTTCAGTCCTTTGAAGTAACTGAGAATGATTCAGGCCTCATTACAGAGATATAATCTACATTCATACATTTATGTTAGTGATTCAAATCTATTGGGAGAGATTGAATTCCGTTAAATAGTGCATCTTTCCTGTGGAACTTTTCTCAGGCTTTCTCAGGCTAACCTAAGAGGTGACCCAACAATACAAAGTAGTGGGGTATTTAGGGATTCGACTGTGGTATAAAAGAAAGGCTATACAGAAGAGAGAAAAAAGAATGAGATATAATCTAAAAAGCTATGTCAGCTTTTCATTTGGGCTGTTTTGTAAATGCCCTTCCTGTCATCACACAGTAGAGAAAAGACTCTAAGGGCATTTCACAGAATGCTAGCTCTGGAAGGGACCTTGGAGATCATCTTGTACAACCCCCCTCTCATCTCATACAATCCTTTTACAGGTGAGGAAACTGAGGCCCAGGGAGATAACTTGAGCAAGATCACACTACTAATCAGTGGCAAAGCTGATGCTTGAACTTTAAAAATCTTGTGTGTGTGTCTATGTGTGTGTGTGTGTGTGTGTGTGTGTGTGTATGTGTGTGTGTGTGTGTGTGTGTGTGTGTGTTTTAAACTCTAAGTTGCCATCCTATTAAACACTGTACCTGGAATAACCTGATTTTAATATTTTCTTTAGGAAGATGCTATTTGGACATAAACACTAACATCTAACCAATTGGACACTTCAAGTTGTACTCTGGGAACATAGAACTCCTGTATATGCATGTTGGAGGTGAAAGAATTCTCCATGGAAGGGGAGGATTGGAAATGAGGTTATCTGGCCTTAAAAGGAGAAAATTAAGTTTTCAAGCAAATGACCACAAAACTTCAACAATATTCTTGGTTCCCAGTGCAAAGAAACTCTTAAACAATAATTTCCCATGTTTTGCAACTTTTGACAACAAGGAGCATTATTTTATGGTTTCATCAAACAGAACATTTTTAAAACACGTAGTTTTGATTAGATGTTGATTCAAACATTTGGATTCAACTGTGCTCCTGGGCTGAAACTCAAGTCCCTTAGAAACTCTACACTCTGTTTCAGGCATTTGTCAATCTAGGTATAAAACAGTGAACTAGGAGACTGAAATTAGCATTCTGGGTCATTTTAAAGTCACTACGCTTTAATTAAAGAGCAATATTTGGTTGACGCATGTTTTTTATTTCCTTCACTTTCCAATTATTAAACTACAAAAATCAAGTCTAATTAAATTAAACCCAACAATCTTCTCTGGTGTTCACCACACTATTGAAATCTTATGAATAAGTATTTGGAGGACCATAAACAATGCAATTAAAAATACCAATTTTAGCATTAAACTGTTTCAACTCCAGCCGTCTTAAATGCCACCCTAGAACATAAGCATACAAACTAAACTTAAAGCTATTTTTTCAAGTCAGTGAACAATATAATTGAAAATCATTTCAAATTTCCTTGTGAAGTTAATATCATTTAAAGTCCATTTTAAGAACCGGATTGAACATTTCTTTCGGTATGTTATGCTGTTTGTAATGAAAATGCTATTATTCCAAAGGCACAGTAGAGACATACAAGCTATTTTTTTAATTGCATAAACCATACAGATTTTTTTTCCTTTCTAAACCTCAGCTGTCTCCAAACAACAGTCTTTTGACAGAAGATTGACTTTTATTTAACGAATTGCCCATGGTTAGTTAGGTAGGCTATCTGAATGGTAGACATCCAATAGACATCCGAGTACTACTGGGCAATCTTGGATTCCTTATTACGAATAACAGAGACCACTACAGCATTTTACGAACGGATCAATTTCTGGCAAAACTTTTCCCCAGTTCGGAAATGAATTATTCTTTACCTGACATGTATGTATGGCAGTAAGTACAAACCTTGAAAGGACGAGGGGAGGAATAGAACTGGGAGAAAAGGAAAAGGGGGGCGGGGAAGGAAGGGGCAACTCCTTTTAATGACAGAGTTTGTTTTAGTTTGTTTATTGTAAAACAGAGTTCCTTAAACATTAAATTTGAAGATGGAAAAAAAAACCGCCCCTTTATGGCAAAGTGCAAAGGAAATTGCATAGAAAACAGACAGCAAGGCATTCAGACAGATTTTATGGTAAAATCTTTGCAATCCCAGTAAAGTGCCATTTGCTTTGAAGTGCACGCGTGATTCAGTAAATGACTCATGTTAGCAATTAGAAATTGGTCATTTGGGTCCCTGATTTCATTTGAGGCAAGAGAGGGGCGACTTTAAGGGGGCCGATAAATCTCTCTCGGCTTAAAAGGCAGAGCGAGGCTAAAGTGTGAACTTTTTATTTCAGCAACGGAAGCGAGAAATCAGTGATTCATTAAAGCAAAGACCTCCTTGGAAGCTGGCAGAAGAGGAGGAAAGGAAACTAATTATGTCCTCTGTGTCCTCTTCCCCCCCCCCTTCTTTTCCGTGCTCGCCCTGACCAGGGTAACATCTCCTTTTGAGGGTTTGTCGGAAACATTTTTTTTTCCCTCTCCCCCTCACCCCTTTCTCAAAGAGAGAACGAAAAAAAAGTCAGCAAAGCAACAAACTCCAGGTGGCTCTCAAGCACTTCACTGCCAAAAAAACAGTCTTACGCTAGAAAACAAGTCAGAAAGGCAGAAAGGGGCTCCCTAGAGGGGATTGGTTCAGGCTGGAAGACAGCAAAATTAGGAAAGCATGAGTGTACAACGCACGCTGGTGGCCAGTGTGCAGAAGAACGTTTTAGGAGCAATTAGGGAGAGTCAAAGGAAGCAGTGGCTGGTGCCTCTTCAGAGGCGAGGAAGGATAGCGGGTACGCAGCTCCTGTCTCTAGTTCCGCTGCAAAAGCACTATTCTTTCCCCGGTGCTCTGAATCTCCCTAGCTCTCCATGTCTCTTTCCCCCACCCCAACCCCCACTCCTTCTTTCCCTTCCCTCCGTTTCTCTCCTCCCTCTCTCTCCCCCTGGCGTTCTCTCGTCCTCGCGTTCCCTACTGCAGAAGGTTTCAGATGTCCCACCGCTGCTTGACCCCCCCCCCTTCCCCTCATCTCCCCATCCTGGCAAATAAGATTTGACCACCAGAGGCATATCCCACCTCTGGCTTGTAATCATTGACATTTGGGCTACAGCCTTCAACCTGTTTACAAGCGGTCTAGGGAGGGGGGGAAAAAAAGACAATCCAAAACACCAATCACCACCACTCCAAACAACAAGTTACTTTCTGGAGGCTTTCAAATCAACAACTACCTCCACCACTAAAAACAGAAAGAGAGAGAGAGAGAGAGAGAGAGAGAGAGAGAGAGAGAGAGAGAGAGAGAGAGAGAGAGAGAGAGAGAGAGAGAGAGAGAGAGAGACAGACAGACAGACAGAGAGAGAGAGAGAGAGAGAGAGACAGACAGAGAGAGAGAGAGAGAGAGGAAAGCAACCACCGGCATCAAACTGCAGCCTTCAGAGCCCACAACTCGGAAGCAACGGGCTTCTTTCTGTCTACAGCTGGGTAACTGGTTGTGGGGCTCAGGATAGAGAGAAGGAACAGAAGGTGCTAATCTCCAGAGGGGCTCAGGCATCCCCCTCCCCAGTCCCCACCCCCGTTCTCTTTGGGTTTCGTTCATTGTGCTGTCATCTGTTTTTTTTTTTTACCAGACTTTTTACCCCCATCTAACATGGTGAAGAAAGGAGTGAAGAAGAGAACAAATTAGCTACTGGAAAATCTTGTGTGAAGGAAGGAAGATTGAGGGCCACAAGCAGCAGCATCTACCACTGCCACCCAAGTGACACCGCTTCCTGGGAAACTACAGAGGCAGAGCACAGAGAATTTGAGTGAGAGAGAGAGAGAGAGAGAGAGAGAGAGAGAGAGAGAGAGAGAGAGAGAGAGGTAACCAGCCGTTCAGAGGTGATTTGTGCCCCTGAGTTATGGATGTTGGTGCGTTCACTTCAGGCCAGATCAGAGCTCTGAGGAAGATAGCCAGCAGCAGCCAACAGCAGCTTTCTACTCGCCTTTTACCGGGTTTTACCCTTCCAGTATGTTTCTTCTGATGAGACATTTTCTAACGCCGAGAGTTTCAGTACAATGTGGAAATGGATACTGACACATGGTGCCTCAGCCTTTCCCCACCTGCCCTGCTGCTGCTGCTGCTTCTTGCTGCTCTTCTTGGTGTCTTCTGTGTCTGTCACCTGCCACGACATGGGCCAGGACATGCTGTCACCGGAGGCCACCAACTCTTCTTCTTCCTCTTCCTCCTCCTCTTCCTCCTCCTCCTCCTTCTCCTCTCCTTCCAGCGCAGGGAGACATGTGCGGAGCTACAATCACCTCCAAGGAGATGTTCGCTGGAGGAAGCTGTTCTCTTTCACCAAGTACTTTCTCAAGATTGAGAAGAATGGAAAAGTCAGCGGGACCAAGAATGAGAACTGCCCATACAGTAAGTAACAAATACAATCTTGTCCTCTCTCTCCCCCCCCCACTTTAAAATTACTCACCCTTCCAACCTCCATGGGGGGAAAAAATCTGTTCCAGATGTGACCCGCTAAATATCGATGTCCCCAACCCCCTGTAAAATGATTAAGTAAAATAGTTTCACGCTGGAGACCCCCCGCATATATTACATCAGGTTGAGGACACCCGCTCCTTTCTTTTTCCGCACTCTCCCCACCCCATCCTCAGCTAGCTTGCTCGGGAAACCTCCACCATAGGAAGAAGGTGAATCTTGTGCCTGAAGTTATCTGTGCGTGCTCTCTCTGCATGCATGCATGCATCCATCCATCCATCCATCCTCCTCCTCCTCCACTACCATCCCCCGCATTTGCAGACAGACCTCTTCTCTCTCCCCTGTAAATGCTCTAGAAAACAAATTTTGTTTCTGTTAGCTGGCAGCCTTGCTAAGAGTTTTGGGACGAGCTACCTCAATCTGAAAATAATTACCCAATGTCAATTATAGTGGTTTTATGGGAAATTTTATTACAGAGAGAGAGAAGTTTGATTCCACTCTTGTCGTTTCTTCCCACCCCTAGCCCTACACCTCCAGCCGCCGCCCCCACCCACCCACCATAGGAGAGAAAAACATTTTTTTCTGGTTTTCATTTTTGTGCGTCCGTCGTGTTGGTTTGAGTGATCGCAGTCCACGAAGTTAACTTTTAAGGCACCACTGCCGCTATTTGTCTACTGCCTGCCTTCTCTCATGGTAATATGATGCTCTTGTCTGCGTTGTCAATAGCATATGGGCCGCTTTGTGGTGTCCTGTCGTACTCTTTTCTTCAGAAACCTCTCATATTGCACAGCTATACTACAGCAGCATTGTAAACATCTGGGACTGTCTTCTCAGAGACCTCACACACATTTCATTGTCATTCTTTATTTTCAAAGTAAAAGACATAAAAGTCTGTTTCCATGAATATACTTTACCCCATAGAGTGAACTTTTCTCTTCACAACAAATTATGGAATGGGATTTTGGTGAGGTGATTTTATTCTTATTGGAGAGGGGAGCAATTAATGTATACTTTCTTCAATTGCTCTTGAAATGTCATTATTATTGAATTCACTCCCCTTTCCAGCCATTTTCAAATAGTGGCACCTGGAAATTGCTAATTGTTATTTGAATGGTTCCAAGTGTATGTTATGGTACATTGAAAACAGTCAATAAATTATAACATCCAAATCGTTTTAATGGTCACACTGGGTGGGGGGGAAGGCAACAAAAAGCAGGTAGTGCCTTTTTTCGTGTCTTTTGGTAACTCCAAGTGTAATGTTTTTCCAGGTTAAACATCTAGGGTAGACAGTGGTAGTGATGGTTGAGGGTGAGGTGGGAGTGACAGCTTGTCACACTAAGAAGAAACGTATTAGAAATGCTTTCCTAAATTGGTTTTTCTATACACACACGCGCATGCACAGACACACACACATTATATATAGATATAGATATAGATATAGGTATAGATATAGATATAGATATAGATATAGATATAGATATAGATATAGATATAGATATAGATATAGATATAGATATAGATATAGATATAGATATAGATATAGATAGATAGATATGTATATATGTGTATATATATGTATATATGTGTATATATATATATATATGAAAAGAAGAATAAATTTGTTTTCTAATAAACTACCCCAGTTGCACATTTTCTCCTTTAACTTCTCTTCTTCCCTTTTCCAAACCTGTTTTCATGTTATGCAAATTATTAATGAATTTGAAGTTTTAGATTTATGGCTATAACATCAGAGGTGCCAAATGTTTCACTTTCATGGTTTTTTTTTCAGCCTTCTGATTCATAGAAAGTGGTTTTAGATGATGTCATGTCATAGTAAGGCTGCTTGCACTAGAAACTCATTTGTAACCATAATTCTTGAGACGATCTTTATAGTCTTGTCTGTTTTCCACCAAAATTTTGACTTAACACCAGTGTGTGCTTGAAAGATAAAATAGTTGTGGTTTTGTTTACTTAAGATTCTGGGGGTAAAGCTGTTCAAACATTTATTGACAACTGAGCACAGACTCCTCCCCTGTCTACCCTCCTGTCTTATGTAGTATTTTTCTGGGTTTTCAGCTCACAAAGAAAATTAAAGGGTGAGTGTTTATCTTGAGCAAATTCATTATATTAAGGCACACTTTCTTTATCACCAACTCCAGCCAAGCCAACTTTGAGTGTCTTTATGATGAGATATCTGGGGATCCTAGCAGAGTTGCTTTAAACTTAAAATTCAAAGGATGTCTTAAAATCAGTTTTTTCTAAGAGAATGATTTGTACTATTAACCATTTACTGGGATGACTCATTCAGCTCTAAACAACTCTATTTTGTGGTGAACCATTTCCATTTAAGGAGAAAAATAAAATTTGATTGGCCTTTAGGAAAAGGGGGGGGTATTAGCAAATGAAGTCATGTAAACTAGCCGAAGTGTAGCCATGTATTCTACCTGTGATCTATAAAACTTCACAAGTACAGGATGTATATTATCAACTTAAGGATTTTGATAATACTTTCTATTTTATTCTTAGTGGTGCAAATGAAGGGAGAGAAAAAAGTTGAAAGGATTATTTTGTTAAATTACGTACATACAGTTTAGTCTTTCCAAGAACATCTGTATCAAAACACTACAAGTGAAAAGCAGAGGTTGTACAAGTTTTAATTTCACATGTGCCTGGGTAATCAGAATGTTGCCACAATTTCCAGCTGGCCTGATTCAGCTGAAGTGCACGGTGTCATTAAGATATTGTCTAAATGTTGTGTAATTACATGTGAAGAACTAACTTGTGCCATGCCTACAGGCGCATCAGCCAGCCCACCAAATGGTAGCCTGTTAAATATTAGGGTATCTAACCTCTGAAGTAGTGTGTCAGTTCCTTGTTCAAAACCACATTTCAGTAACATTTTCCTAAGCAAGTTATTAATTACTCTCCATACACAAAGCTGATCTTTTAAGATTTGTTTATTTGAAGCTTAATTTTCGTTGTTACTTTTGACCCTAGTGATATGACTGCTAAAATACAGTCACAGCTTATCTTAGAGGTTACATGCCTGTGATATCCTGGGTAATTAAACAACTGTTTGAATGGCTCTTTGCCAGCAAAATACTAGCAAACAAAAGACAAGTAGGAAATGAACCACAATTATTGCAAAAGCATATATAAGTTTCTACATTCAAGATGTTTCTCAGGGCCTGAATCATGCTAAAAATACTACATGGGCTAAATAAAGGCTTACTCTGGCTAACACTTACCATCTTGGCGATTGTAGATGTTTAGCTTTTGTGCCTTGTGTCTCTTCGTGCTTATAGAATAACAAGAATGGAGATGAATTATGTCTCTTCTGTCAGAAGTCTGGGAAAGCTTGAATAATTTAGAGTAGCAGTATTGTATCTGTCACTAGATATGTGCAGGCTAGTTTAGGGTTTGGTTTATCATTCTTTACATCTAGAGCTTTGCCCTTGAAACACAACCACTCAGCACTAGCTCTTACCTCAGAGAAAGCCTGGATACAGCTGCTCACCCCTCTTGCCCCAGTGCTGTCCTGAGAGGCTTATTTCCAGGAGAGAGTAAAACAGCTGAAGGCTTCTCCTGAGACAATCACTTAGAAAAAGGGGAAAGTCCTGGGGAAAAGCAAATGGAGCTCTCAAATGAGTCTTGATAAACCTATTGGCCTCTTGGAACTTTCTATCGAGGTATCTCAACAACTGAAAGTCATTGATTGTCCATAGTTAGCTAAAAGGTATTGTTGGTTTCCCTCCCCTTTCTCAAAGAACTGACTCATTTCAAGAACAGAATTTCTTTTTGCTGTGAACACAAATGAGATGCAAACTGGTAGCATGTACAGAAAGACTGACCCAGACATATACTGGCTGTGTTACTGTGGGCTAGTCACCTAACCAGTGCCTCTTGGCCAGGCTATTCTCTAAAAAGATTACTGAAGAGTTGCTGATCTGTATTAGTGGAGAAATTCTCAACACAAGTGACTGCACAGTCCTAGACTTGCCTGCCCCCCCCATTTCTCAATCTCTTTCTGCCTCTGCCTATCTCTTTCTCTCTGTGTCTCTCTTTCTCTCTCTGTCTCTCTTCCTTCTCTTTCTCCATCTCTCTCTCTCTCTCTCTCTCTCTCTCTCTTTCTCTCTCTCTCTCTCTCTCTCTCTCTCTCTCTCTCTCTCTCTCTCTCTCTCTCTCTCAATCCCTCTATTTCTTTCTCTCTCAATGCCTGTCTCTTTGAGAATGTCTCTATAGTAGAAATGGTATCTCATTGTTCTATACATGCTTTCTCCTCAGCCCTTAAGGCATAATATTCAAGGCATAGCTGTCTAGAGTTGGGCAGTGCTACTCTAGTCTTCTGGTAATATTTTTCACTTCTATGATAGAAGAGTTTTGACATATAATTGGTCCTGGATGCACAAACAATATATAGACAGATCAATCTCACTTATGTTAACTGAGGTCATTAGGAATACATGGATACTTAAGGAAAAGCCCCTAATTTCATTGTCTATAGTAATTGTTTACAGCTGACAGCCAAATGTTTAATTGTTCCCAGGTGTAATAAAATAATTTGATTCTGAATGCCATTGGGAAATCAGGCTGTTATAAGAATGTCTGCTGTCCCTCGCTGTATGTTGTTCTCAGCTGCACAGAGAGCTGAGCTGAGATTAAAAGATTGGATTTTAATTCTTTCAAAATTAATTTTGCCACAAAAACATTTATTTTCTCAGCTAAAAAGCAAAGACAGTTTTCCAAGATGAAAGTTTTCCATACTTCCTTGGTTTTTAAATTTGGACAGGCACTTACTGTTAGAAGTTTATTTAAAAAATTGGGGGTGGCCAATCATTCCTAAAGAAAATAGGAAACTATTAATGTTTCCTAATAAGGACTTTTGGGGAAAAAATCTGAGCAAAAAGAAAACTTTACACATCTTTATGACTTCA